CTACATTAAGCAGCAGTCCTAAGGCTCCTGGACCCTTGTGGTGAAATCCCACCCAAACCCTAAACCCTAAACCCTAAACCCTAAACCCTAAACCCTAAACCCTAAACCCTAAACCCTAAACCCAAAGCCGAAGCCCCTAAAGCAATAAACCCTAACTACTGCATACCCTGGAGCCCTACACCTCTGTGACCCCCAGGCTGTCCGAGGATGGGGACGAGAAGTACGAGCAGCTGGACCTCAAATTAGGGTTTAGGGTTGAGGGTCAAGGGTTTAAGGGTTTAGGGTTTAGGGTTTAAGGGTTTAGGGTTAAGGGTTTAGGGTTTAGGGTTTAGGGTTTAGGGTTTAAGGGTTTAGGGTTTAGGGTTTAGGGCATCATCATTGGGATCCCTGGGGTTATGAGTAGACACATAAGCCAACCGTTCACCTAACCATACCTGGAGTTAAGATTAGATAATTACTGCGATCCTGGAGCCGCAAGATCGTCTGTTTCAGTTCAGCGTTGCGTCGGGGCATTGCAGATGTTAGTTGATGTCTGCAGAAAAAATGAACCCAAAAAACCGTAAGACCTAAAACCGTAAAGCCCCAAACCCTTAAAATCGATACAGTACCTCACGTGGGCCTCAGGATGAAAGAGAAAGACTTGGAGAAAGACTTGCAGCTGGACTGCAAGTTCGGACTGACATGAAGCATCTCGCAGCTGAAACTAGGTTCAAGGCTGGTAGGAGGAATAGGTAAGTAGCTAACAAAGGATCCGAAGATCCCGGATTATTCAAGCTGAGATCGTATACTTCAGTGCAGCATTGTCTCGAACCGTGGTAGAAGACAGAGCATGCCTGTGGGCCCAAGGATGGCTGGCGGAGGAAGCCCGAAAGAAGCGCAGCTGCGCTGCAAGTTACCTGTAGGAATCACATGGGGCATGAGCCAACCCAGACTTCTCTCGTCTCATCATGTAGGGGTGTAAATAACTACCTATACTATTTTTGGGGGTTCCTTATCATAGTTATAGTATAGTCGTAACATAGGGGTGTAAATAATTCCCTATACTATTTGGTGGGTTCCTTATGGTAATTATAGTATACTGGGCTGCGAAACTCTTTTCTAACTATTTAGGCTTCTGTAGAATCTGAAGCCAGATGTCAGCATGGTCTGAAGGATAGGTGATCGGAAGATCCCGAAGCCCTCAAGCCGAGATCGTACTTTTCGCTTGATGTTGTTGACTACACAAATGTACATAGAGACTCCACAACCCCTTAATTACGCAATATACCTTGAATTATAATATCAACCCTAATATTAGAAACAAGGTATCTTTCTCAATTAAGGGGTTACGGAGTCTCTGGGTACATTACAGTGCACGTCTGCGAGCTTCAGGATGTTGGGTAAAGGATCTGGCAAAGGGGGCCAGAACGATGAGCAGCTGGACCGCACGATTGGATTCACATGAATCAGCCTGAGCTTCTTCAACGTCGCGCCTGAACCCAAGAATTCAAAACGCATAAACCTTAACCCCAAAACCCCTGAAGTTAGGCTTCAAGCAGGGTATGAAGAGTGGGTAAATACTCGTAGTGTATCCTTTGGAAGGCTCAGAAGATCCCCCGGACGTCCCAAGCCTTGATCGGTATACTTCGTTGTATATGGGCGTTTCCGATAATGAGGGTACCCTATTTTGGGGATCCTTATAGTAAGGATCCTACTATTTGGGGTACTATATTGGGGTCCCCTATTTTCTGAAACCCCCATATTGCGGCGCTCAGGATGTTGGGCAAAGGACTTGGCAAAGGGTACCAGAAAGATGCGCAGCTGGATTGCAAAATGTTGATGCACCTGAGACAACTAAAGGCACGACACCCTGTGGTAACCTTCTTCATTCTCCTACCTGAAGTTTCGTTCAATGCCCTGTCAAAACTAATCACTGGCATCCAAGGCGAGATCGTAAACCTCAAGCCCAGCATTTTCTCGAGTCGAAATACGTGCAGTCCTAAATAGGGGTTTCCGAAAATGGGGGACCCAAATATAGTAATTACCTTAAATAGTAGGACCCTTATTATCAGGACCCCAAAATACGGTACCCCTTATTTTCGGAAACTCCCAAATGCAAACCTGAAACCCAAGCCCATGCTCGTGTGGGCGCCCAGGTTGCGCAGTGCAGACGAGGCACAGGAAAATGAGGAGGAAGGCCCGGACCTGCTCCAGACTCAGCGACCAGGAGCACTTTAGGGATTTAGGGCTTAAGGGTTTTAAGTTAAAGGGTTCAGGGTTTCGGGTTCCGGCTTTAGGATGTAGCAAAACTCGACATAGGTGAGGCAACCGACAGCGCGAAACCGGAACTGCTATCTCATCCGAAGTCAGGTTTACACCTCGTAACGAGACCAGGCATCAGTGTAAATACCTGTGCCCTCAACCCAGCCAGGATCGTAGACCTCAGCCCTCCGCCGTCAGCATGTTCTCGAGTCCTTGTTGCACGCGCTACATGTCCACCTGGCTTAGGTTCTACAGCGGAGGGGACAAGAAAGACATGCAGCTGGACCCGGCTGACTTGGGTGTGTTTCCGTGCGCTTGCGCATGTCTGTGTGTGTGTGCGCGCTTTGTGTGAGTGTGTGTGTGTGTGTGTGTGTGTGCGCGGGCGCTTTCTGTGTGTGTGTGTAAAGCCTCATGGTCATATACTTATCCATCTTCAGGGTTGCGGTGGTCGTGGCCTTTGTGGCTGTGACAGGAAGAAGAAGTAGGATACGCTAATGTGAATACTAACCACGGCTGCCTGCAGTTGCTGCTGCTGCCGCCGCCGCCGCTGCTGCTGCTGTTGCTGTCTACTGTGGTATCTACCTACTGCTGCTGCTTTGCTGGGTGGCGGGTTGTTGTGGCTGTTGTGTTGTTGATGGTGCTGTCTTGCTACAACAGCAGTCTAAATCTACTAGCCAGCGTATGCATGAGCTTTGGGAGCAGGTTCGTGTGTCGCCTCGCAGCTCACGTGCTGCCTCTTGTTTGCGACGCTCCTGTTGCAGCCACGGAACATATGGTCGATTCAGCAACAAGGCTCCGATACTCGATAGACGTTTCCGGTAGAAGGTTGGTCGACTCTGCAATGGGCTGTTGGGACGCGCTCGCCGTTGAGTGGGAGGGTCTGAAGTACTACAAGTCCGTTTTTGCACGGATGATCATGGACCCCGCGACGAAAGCCAAGACATCTTTCGGTCAGATGTTCCGAGGTATTGTGGTTGGCGCTCACTACGAGTGGTTGACGAACCCGAAGAAAACGTCAGAATCAGTTGTTGAGGAGGTCTGTGGTAAAGGAAACTATGATGCATTGAAGGGCAAGGTCGTCATCATTACAGGTGCAACCAATGGTCTCGGTCTTGAGAATGCCCGCTGCCTCTTGAAATATGGTTGCCATGTAGTTTTCGCAATGCGGAACAAAGAGAAAGCCGAGAAAGTGGTGGCAGAGATGCGCGCTAAAGAGACGCTTACCGGAAAGGCCACGTTCATCAATATCCAGCTCGATGACTTGTCGACGGTCAAGCCCTTCGTCCAAGAGTTCCTCGCCTTGGGCCTCCCCCTACACTGCCTGATTAATAATGCAGGCATCATGGCACCACCTGTCTATCGTGCCTCGAAGCAGGGTTTGGAAAGCCAGTTCGCCATCAACAACATGAGCCACTATTTGTTGACCCATCTGTTGCTGCCCAAGCTGAAGGAGACCGCACAGACGTCGGGGGAAGCCCGTATCTTTGTCATAGTTGGGTAACATTTCACATGTTTAAGGGTACTTAAACCCAATAAGGAATATAAACTTAAATTTTAAATACTACCCCAACCATGAACTAGGTATCGTCTATCTTGGCTCTCTTGCGGGAGAGGCGTGCTGGAATGTCGACCTCGACACGTCCGTGCCCAGTGGTCCAGAGTTTTACTCAGATATCGGAGACTATACCAGTACGAAATGCATTGATATGATCCATGCCAGGCATCTGCATGACAAGTACACGAAGGACAAGATCTTCGTCTGCGCAGTGCACCCAGGGATTATCAACTCTGGGTTGGGCAAGGACAACCCTGGCCTCACAGCCGCTTTCTATGCCGGCTCGTCCTTGAAACACACGCACAAGAGCCCCGCAGAAGGTGCTGCACCCACCATGTAATGTAGGGGCCTTAATGAATTAGAATAGGGTTTTGGGGGGTTCCTTATTATAGTTATAGTATTAATATACCTTCATAAATTAGAATAGGGTTTTGGGGGTTCCTTATTATAGTTACACTACAATCTACCCCCCAAGCCCTGAAGGTGCTGCAACGACCATGTACTGTGCTTTGAGCTCAGAGGTTCCCAAGAAATCCGTCACGGAAGGGGCTTCCTAGGATGTTCAGTAGTATGTTTTTGTTGTTTGTTTTTATACTTTGTTTGGGGTATTGGTTCCTAATATAATATAACTACTTGTTTTTTGGGGTTACTGCTTCCCAATATAATACAGCTAGTTTTTTGGGGTATTGCTTCCTAATATAATACAACTAGCCCAAAAGAGTATACACTTGTTCCCAGTTGGTTGCTGAACAGCTTAGGCTTGGTGGTACTACAACTGCCAGCCGCAACGATGCATCGGCTTCGCTTCGAAGGCCACGCCAGAGTTTCAGGAGAAGCTTGAGGCAAAGTGCTGGGACCTAGCCAAGGCATATGCATGACACCATGAGACATCGTGCCACGGCAAGGGCCTCAGCGTTTCCAGAATTGTTTAACGATAGAGCTTCATGCTCCAGAAAAGTCTGTAAAGTCGGCTTAATGGCTTCCTGTAGCAGTCGTTTAGCATCCTAGCAGATCCTGTCTTCACCCAGGGCAGAAGCACAGTTCCCGGGCAGGCATTACAGATCGCCTTGCAATCCCTTACACCACTTTTGCCGGGTGAGCCAGCCCGCCGCAAAAAGAGCTGCCGCGTGCGTGCTACAGCTGACTGTCAGCCGATTGTCGGTACAATGAGGGCCTGAATGGGTAAGTGTCAAAATTATGGTCCCTTTTGGGGTACCCTAAATAATAGGTGCCGTATTATAATAAGGACCCAAAAAGGGACCATCATTTGGACAACCACCCAAATATGTAATTAGTAATGCCCCCCTGTTTAGCCATTGTCTAGATCGTCAGGCCTCTATCATTGTAGTACTGGTCATAACTCATAAACAGAATAACAAAAAGAAACGTTATCATGCTAGTAATAATCATAAAAACAAGAAAATAATAACAACAATACTAATGGTAATAAGAATAATAATAATAATGTTCAGCTCCCGTCTCGGCGAAGGCAGCCTCTAATTGCAAGGTGCGACCCTGTGGCCGTAATGGTAAGCCACCAACCATGGGAGTTTCCGAAATTAAGGGGTACCTTATTTTGGGGTCCTTAGAATAAGGATCCTACTATTTGGGGGAGTACCTTATTTTGGGGTCCTTACAATAAGGATCCCTTGATTTTCGGGTCCTTACAATAAGGATCCTACTACTTAGGGTACTACATTAGGGTTTGGGGTCCTTATAATACGGATCCTACTATTTAGGGTACAAAAATTAAGGTCCCCTATGTTCGGAAACTCCCAGATAGGTTAGCCGTGTCAGCATCGGCAGACGGGACAGGATCGAAGGCAAAGAGCCTGGACCCTGAAGCATCTAAGCCCCGAGCCCTGTCTGCAGGGACCCTTTTAGGGTTTAGAGTTTAGGGGTTTAGGGTTTAGGGTATAGGGTTTAGGGTTTAGGGTTTAGGGTCCCTAAATTCTGAAGCCCAAACCCTGAGCTCTGAACCCTGAGTTTAATTCGGAGCTATCCTCTGCCCGAAGCCTCAAGTCCCAAAATTCATGACTTTCTAGACTCTGAATTATAGGGGTTTAGGGTTTAGGACCTAAAACCGTGAACCCTAAACCCTAACTCCAACAGCAAAAACTCCTGACGCCTAAAGTCAGGACAACTTCCTGAGGCAGGATGCAGCGGAATCTGAAACCGAGGCGGCGGATCTGTTTGAGGCCCCCGCGAAAATTCGCATGTCAAGCGAAGCCTTGCTTGTGGGGTGTTGGGCTTTGATTAGGGACCCAAAGAGCACATAAGCATAAGCTTTTTATAGGGATATCCCTACCTTATTGGGCTTCAATATAAGGGGATTTATATGGGATATCCGGATCCTATTTTTTGCTTATGTGCTTTTTTGGGGCCCTATTTCGGGGCTTGCAGGCTGCTGAGGACGGAAGGCGCACCAATCATCCCAAAGCTCGGGGAATGCATGCTTCAGGGTTAACTTACCCTAAGGGTCCATGTACCCAAATAGTATATACTGTGGCCCCAAAGTACCTATATAGGGACTACTTTCAGGCCAAAGTATATACTATTTGGGTACATGGACCCTTAGGGTTACGACTCAGGAAGTTTAGGGTTGGGGGGGGGGGTTGTTCGGGTTCTGTTACCGCAAATCACCAGTTCGCTGCCGAAAGCTGGACTCCACACCCTGGGCCGCGACAGCTCGTCCGAAACAATTTGGATAGTTCTCTAAATTAGGATCCCTTTTTAGGTCCCCAAAACAGGCTGGCGGCACCCTTTTGAAAAGGCCCCCAACACGGACCCTAATTTAGAGAACTACCCGAGAACTTCCCGGTAACTACCCACTTATCACGTAGAGGTTTAAAGCCAAGCCTAGAGGCCTGGGTTACTGGTTGCCGGCATGCTTCAACACACCCGCAAAGTGCAGACAAGCTCGACCCGCAAGACCCTAAACCCTAAAACCCCTAAACCCTACAACCCGTAAACCCCTAAACCCTAAAACCCTACAACCCCCAAACCCTAAAACCCCTAAACCCTAAAACCCTACAACCCCCAAACCCTAAAACCGCTAAGCCCTAAAACCCTACAACCCCCAAACCCTAAAACCCCTAAACCCTAAAACCCTACAACCCCCAAGCCCTAAAACCGCTAAGCCCTAAAACCCTACAACCCCCAAACC